TCGGCCTCCCAAAGTGCTGACATTACAGGTGTGGGCCACTGCGCCTGGCCCACACATTCTTTTTACACCAACTTTGGGATGCAGAATGTGCAGTCCCAAGTGGAGTGAGCTGAAAGCCAAAAGAAAGGCAGAACTAATGAGGAAGAGAATGAAGGCAGAAGTGAACATGTAGAACCGTGCTAGCAAGGTCTGGTGTTTGATAGAAAAAACAACAAAAAAATAGAACAGGCTCGCCCAATTTCTTCAAACTTCCATAAACAAATAATGTCTTGGGCCCCTCATTTCTCCAAATGCCAGACGCCTGGGCAGCAGTGCCAGACCAGAGTGAGGCAGATGAGCCACTTGCATGACACTGAGAGTGAGAAACTCTTGAAGTTGACACTCCAGGTGTCTCACTCGCCTCCCCTCATCCCGACCACACTGGGCAGGGTAAACAGCATCTTTCATTTTAGTCTTAACTTCAAAAATAGATTAAGAGGCTACAAACTGGACTGGCGTCTACATCCATCTGAACAATTCTTCTTTGTTGGCAGCTCAGAGCGGAGGATGAAATTAACAATGAGTAATTCACACTCTGCAAAAAGCAAAATATTAAAGCCTGATTGTGGGCTTCCTGATGGACAAGATTATTTTCCTCTACAGAGAGGCTTAGGTTGCCAGAGGAGCCATCTGCAGCGCCCCAAAGCATTTAGGATGAGACCCCTCTGTTGGCATTAGCCTAGCCCACTGATCTGGAGCAGGATGTGAGATTCTCTGCTGGTGATTTTGGCTTCCATCCACCGAAGCCACATGTCAAGGACTGAAAGAGGGATCTGGGACCATGTGTGGCTGATTGGGCCATATCTTCTAGAGAGAGCTTGTAGTCATTAAGAATAGTCGGCCAGGTGCCTTGGCTCATGCCTGTGATCCCAGCACTTTGGGAGGCTGAGGCGGGCGAATCATGAGGTCAAGAGATTGAGACCACCCTGGCCAACATGGTGAAACCCCGTCTCTAATAAAAATACAAAAATTAGCCGGGCGTGGTGGCACATGCCTGTAGTCCCCGCTACTTGGGAGGCTGAGGCAGGAGGAATCACTTGAACCTGGGAGGCAGAGGTTGCAGTGAGCTGAGATTGTGCCACTGTGCTCCAGCTTGGTGACAGAGTGAGACTCCATCTCAAAAAAAAAAAAAAAAAACAGCCAAGACCCTCATCTTCCTGTCTAGAGGCAGGAACTTTTCTTAACTCTTTCAGTTTCTTAACTCTTTCAGCTGTCTGTCAGTTTCCACCTGTGGACCCCCTCAATCCTTCCTGCACTAAGCTACTCATGGCATGTGTTACAAGGGTGAAAATGGCACATCTGGGCTGAAACCAGGACAGCAACATGAACAAAATGAAAAGTTCAAAGGGACAAGCTCACCTAAAAATTACTTGTCCCCACGTTTCCCCCACCTTTCTCCTTTCTCCCTTAGACTCAAGTTATAGAAGAGCTTGAACGTGATAAAATACTTGGCTTTTGGCCCCTTGCCTTCCAGGGATATTTAGAGGAAACTCCTGAGACCCTTGGATGTTGTGTTCTCTGCTGGGATTCTCCCAAGGGCTACATCCACAGTATGGAAATGGATAGAATGCTGCAAAGCTATTTCCACAAAGTTCGTGTGGTATTTGCATGTAATTTCCCTATGGACACTGTGCAACCCCTCCCCAGACCATTTTCAAGTTAAAAGCATTTTTATGGCTCTCTTGATGGCAGTCACTTCTGGATTTTTCCTCCTCTCTGAGCTGTCTTCTCCCTCGGGCACTCTCCCTGGCCCAGATCTTTGGAGAGGGAGCCAAGTGGAGCCAGGGAAGAACCATAGAGGAATGCAGGACTCAGCCCAACCTTTGCCCTGGGCACTGGCTGAGATTCTATTTCCAAAATTGTTTAGGTGATTATACTGTAGACTGTGGGACTCTAGATCAATTAATTCAAAAAAAGTCTCTTTGATCTAGAAGTTTCTTTTTTTTTTTTTTGAGACGGAGTTTCGCTCTTGTTACCCAGGCTGGAGTGCAATGGCGCGATCTCGGCTCACCGCAACCTCCGCCTCCTGGTTTCAGGCAATTCTCCTGCCTCAGCCTCCTGAGTAGCTGGGATTACAGGCACGCGCCACCATGCCCAGCTAATGATCTAGAAGTTTCTGAACTACCTTCTATCTCTTTCTTTTCTGCCTCTGGTAATAATTCTTTTAAAAATGAGTCTTGGCCAGGTGTGGTGGTTCACGCCTGTAATCTCAGCACTGTGAGAGGCTGAGGCGGGTGGATAACCTGACGTCAGGAGTTTGAGGATCACCTGGCCAACATGGTGAAACCCTGTCTCTACTAAGAATACAAATATTAGCCGGGCGTGGTAGTGGGCACCTGTAATCCCAGCAACTCGGGACGCTAAGGCAGAATTGCTTGAACTTGGGAGGCTGCAGCGAGCCGAGATCGCACCATTGCACTCCAGCCTAGATGACAGAGTAAGGCTCCATCTCAGAAACAAAACAAACAAAAAGAGTCTTGATTCACTTATTGAATCTCTGCAATAGCCATTGAAGATTGGGCTATTTTCAGAGGAGGAAACAGAGATGGTTAAGTTACATAGCTGCTTAGGGTCTTGATTTGTCCACCTCAAAGTCCAGCGTTCTTTCTGTGCTTCAGTCTCTTCAACTGTAAAATTGGGGTGTAAATAGCATGTATTTGATAGGGTTGTTGGGAGGGTTGAATGCTTTCATCTTTGTTAGGTGTTTAAAACAGCCTTGCATATAGAGTATTCCATAAATATTCACTGATTTTATTGTGCTATGCCTTGTTTTTCTTTACCATTCTATGCATTGGACTCATGACTCTTTCGTGGGAGGCGAAACCAACTTCTACGCTTGGAAAGTATTATTCAAGATGGAGAAGCTGGCTTCCCAGGCTCACGCCCAGGTGGGACCAGAACCGATACCTCATAAGCAACAGGACTGGGCTGACTGACTGAGCCACATCCCTGCCTGGCCCTGGCTAAGCAGAAGAAACTCTCAGACATGGGTAAACCCACAAAGGGAAGGGATGTCCCGTTTAGAAAATGCTGAGGGCAGGAAGAAAGAAGGCTTCTGAACAGAGCCAAGGAGTATAAGGCAACATTTTACTCTGTGATGTGTTGAAGGCCTTGTGTTTTGAGGTGGTTCTAGATTCTTCATGATTTGTATTTCACCTTTACCCAGCAGTTACAAGTTAAGGCCTGTGTGTGCTGAAAGGAGTATGGAGGAGGACACCAGTTCCCTCCCACAGGGATGACTGAAAGCCTTGGAGTAGTTAGGACCAGGAACTGGAGAGAGAGATCTGAACTCTGCCAGAGAGCCCTGGTGCTTGGGAGAGGCTGCCCTGCAGGGACTTGCGCTGTAGCTCAAGCCTTCCTTAGTAGTAGCCAATATAAATGACAGGGATAGGTTCCCACCATCCTGGGGACCCTGGAAGAAACCAACACAATTAACATCAGGTCTGTTGGCTGCTGCTGAAAAGACGGCAATGAAAATATACAAAATCTGCCAGGCACGGTGGCTCACGCCTGTAATCTCAGCATTTTGGTAGGCCAAGGTGGGCGGATCATGAGGTCAGGAGCTCGAGATCAGCCTGGCCAGCATGATGAAACCCCATCTCTACTAAAAGTACAAAAATTAGCCGGGCGTGGTGGCGCACGCCTGTGATCCCTGCTACTTGGGAGGGCTGAGGCAGGAGAATCGCTTGAATCAGGGAGGTGGAGGTTGCAGTGAGCTGAGATGGAGCCACTGCACTCTAGCCTGGGCGACAGAGTGAGACTCAGTCTCAAAAACAAAACACACACAAAAAAACAAAAACACAATATAACCAGGAAAGAACTAGACTCTGTAAAAGAGCTTTACAAACCTAATCAAGGGAACAAGACACCCCAAACTGTACTTTGAAAACTGCTGAAAGTTGTGAAAGTCATGTTCTAGCAGTTGAAATTTTTGCTGATCAGTCCACTCTCTCAGGAAAAAAAAAGACCAGACTCACAAAGAAAATAGGAGGTTTAAAACACAAATGTCTGTAATTAAGCAACGGAATGACGTCTTCCGCCGGCCCGAGCTTCCCACTGTTGTGTTTTTATCAAGAGGAGCCCCGGGTTCTGCCTGGCCCGGTTCGCTTTCGCCTGCGTTGACTCTCTCAGCACTCAGGCCTTCCAAAGTTTCCAGGATCCCGTTTCCAAGATACGGACACAGGCTCCATGTCTTGATCTTATCCTGAGTCGATGTTTTCCCACCTTTAGGATACAAGGAGCCATAAACAGCACGTACAGAGTTGGGAGCGCTTCGAAAAGACGCACGTGAGAGGGGGGTGGCATCTTACTAGCTGGTCACCAGCATTAACTTGGTGGTGGCAATGAGCCGCGGAAGATGGGGCAGGAGAGATGCGAACGCAACGTGAGACCCCCTCCTCGCCCCCCGGCGTGAGGTTTCCGACGACCGCCGGCGGCCAATGCTGAGGGGCGGGGCTGGGAAGACTTCCGCTGGAACTGTGGCGCGGGGACCGCCTGCTGTGGGATGCCCGGGACAATGGCGAGCGAGCTCCCGGCCAGGCAAGCCTTGCGGACCGCGGGAGGGGGCGGCTCCCTGCGCGGTAATCCGAGCAGGGATAAACAGGCGTGGAGGGGTGACGCGTCCCGGCCCCGCTCAGCGCTTGCTTCCCGGGGTCCCCGCTCCGGCCGGCCCCGCCCCCGCCGCGAGACCCCGGCCGCGCCCCCACCCCGCCCCCGCCGCGAGCCCCGAGGCCGTGTCCCAGCGCGCGGAGTCCTGCCGCGACTCCCCGCGCTAGGCACGCGCCGCCGGCTCCTGCTGCAGCCCCGCGCTCATTGGCTGCCCCGGCGTGGGCGCTCCCGCCCCGCCTCGCCATTGGCTGGGGCCGCCGCGGTCCCAGCGCGGAGCTGCCGCTGACATCACGCGGCCTGAGGCGGCGGCGGCGCCCCCGGCCCAGCCCCGCAGTCCCCTAGGCAGAGGCGCCGCCGTGGTGCCCGGCGGAGGATGGTGCGCGGCGCGCCGGGGACTCCCTGCTGCCAGAGCCGCAGCGCCGCAACGGAGCCGGCCGCGGCGGGCAGTCGACCCCCGCACTGGGCGCGGGGCGGGCGGCCGCGGTGAGGCGCGGAGGGCGGCGCGGGAGCCAGAGCCGGGCTGGGGCTGCAGCAGCAGCAGCCATGGGGGCCCTGACGAGCCGGCAGCACGCGGGCGTGGAGGAGGTGGACATCCCGTCCAATTCCGTGTACCGCTACCCGCCCAAGTCCGGTGAGGACGGGCGAGCGCCGCGGCCGCGAGGAGGGAGAGAGGCAGGGGCGGGGGTCCGGGTCGGGACGGCCGGAGGGGGCCCCACGGGTTCTCGGGGACCCAGTGGTTGCGGCCGCTCCGAAACGATCTTCGAGCGCGGGAGGTCCTCGAGAAGGCCGGTGTCTCCCCCGCCCCGGGCGAATTAGCGCAGGAGGCGTCCTGCGGAGCCTGGCGGGGGTCACCGAGGGCACCGAGCCCCTCCACCGGAGGACGGGAGCGGCCTCCATTGTAATCGGCCCCGTGACGGGGACGCGTGCCCGCAGGAACTGCGGCTCCCGGGGAGCGGGGCTGCGGCGTCGCAGGCGAGGTCGGCGCCCCGCACGGACCCGGCGGGTCCGGCCCACAGCCCATTTGCCTCGCGGGAACCGGGGGCCGGGGGGGGGGGGGGCGGCCTCGTCATCCCTAACAGGCACCTTTGCCAGGTGCTGTCCCTGCGCTGCAGCCTCCCAGCCTCTGGAAAGGTTAGAATTAGGTCTCTTCTGAAAAAGCTTCTATTGCCTGCGGAGGATGGAAGCCAAACATGCATTTGCAGTGCTGGTGCCTTTCCAGAGGCTGTCAGAAGCGGGTGGAGGTGGGGGAGAGTAACAAATGTTTGGGAATCTGAGTATCAGAATCACTCGAATTGCCCCTTTGCCAGCGTTGCGGCAAGCCTGGGTTTTGGAGTGAGACTAGCTCTGGGTGAAGGCAGAGATATTGGAAACGTATTATGTTTGTTATCAGAATCAAACCTTCACTTAAAGAGATGAATGTCTCCAGTCTCTGGGTTGTGGTATCAGCATTGGAGATGGAAGAGGGTTTTGATAGCAAAGCGGAGAATCACAGGAAGGTAGTTCAGTTACGTGAGCACCAGCTAATGTGAATTGCTGCTGCGTGACCTAGCTGGTGTTTACTTTTAATTGCAAGTAATTTTCCTTTAATTGCAGTTATTTTAAAATTACTTTTAATCTTATTCTCAAGACTTCTGGGGATGGATGGCTACTACCTTCTCTCTGGCTTAGGACCTGATGGAGATTTTGGTGATCTTGGAATGAAATGTCAGAATTGGAGCGGAGCCTCATCTCTTTTTGGTAGAGTAGAGACATGCTAATGAGATGAGCTGATTTCTCAGCAGTGTGTCCAGTGTCTGCCAGGTAAAAGCAGGGACCAGACGATGAACCTGCCCGCATCCCTGCCGAGTGTCTGCCAGAGCTGTGTTTCCCACTGCTTTTGTGCCAAAGAATGAATCCTTGCAAAGATGAATATGATGAATTGTTTTATAAAGCTGTGGGTCATGAGTATTTTAATAAAGCGCTGATTATGACTACATAAAATCAATGCTAAAGAAGGCATGGATTTTGTTTTTAAATAGACAAAAATATGCAGCAGTATTTGTGGACTCGGTGTTTCTTAAACCACATGGCTTTTATCGATCATAATATGGAGCATACTTTTCTGAGCTTGGAATTTTCAAAAGTGTTTGCTGCCTCAGGGAAGTATTCACCCCTCCCTTCGCATGTGAAACTTAACATAGATAACCCTCTGGAAGGCGGTTCCCCAAAGCATTTTTATACAAGTTTGAATCTTGGGTGATGAAAATGAAAGGTTAACAGACCAAACCAAAACTTTTTTGTTAATTAACACACTCAATACTTTGCCTTAAATAATCCTCTCTACTCTACCAATCTTTTAAAAGTTTTACTTAACTATAAAACTGTAATTCATGTTAAATCAGAAGTTATACATGAGAGAAGTCTTTACAGCCAGTGGACCAGTTATTTCTGTTGAAGCTAAAGCACAGGAAATAGAACATCTGTGTCTCTGTCAGCAAACCTTTGTGTATTTGAAACCTATGTGAGCTTGCATATACGCTCTAGATAGAGGCATTGCCTTTCTTCTGATCATTGAATTGACCTGGCTCTTTATGGGGTAAAGAGCCCATACAGGTTCAAGAGACTTTGGCCGTTACCACCATGCCTAGCTAATGTTTAATTGTTATTATTATTATTTTGAGTCAGAGTCTCACTCTGTCATGCCCAGGCTGGAATGAAGTGGCGAGATATTGACCACTGCAACCTCCACGTCCCGGGTTCCAGCAATTCTCCCGCCTCAGTCTCCCAAGTAGCTGGGATTACAGGCGCTCACCACCATGCCCTGCTAATTTTTTGTATTTTTAGTAGAGACGGGGTTTCACCATATTGGCCAGGCTGGTCTCAAACTCCTGACCTCAGGTGATCCACCTGCCTCGGCCTCCCAAAGTGCTGGGATTAGAAGCGTGAGCCACCATGCCCAGCTAAGCTTTTTGTAGAGACAGTATCTCACTAAGTTGCCCAAGGTGGTCTTGAACTCGTGGTCTCAAGCAAACCTCCCGCCTTGGCCTCCCATTCATTTCACTAATAAGAAAATGGAGACTCATAGAAATGAATTGGCATGGCTACGGTCTCTCAGCCAGTTAGTGTTCTTTATACTATACCATCTGCCTTTGACTTTCAAGGAATTGGGTTTTGAACTTGTACTCAAAACACATGACTTAAAACAATCATTCCATAATTATGGAGTAAAGCTATTTTGTGTCACAATTGAAATCCTTTTTTTTTTTTAAAGATGGGGTTTCACCACGTTGGTCAGGCTGGTCTTGAACTCCCAACCTCAGGTGATCTGCCCACCTTGGCCTCCAAAGTGCTTGGATTACAGGCGTGAACCACCACGCCCGGCCAAATCTGATTTTGAGAAGTCTCCTTATCCTGAGTACTGACAGTGGAACAAAGCAAGCAGCAGAGTCAGTTTTCTCCAGATGACATGCGTTGTGGCCTGGGTGTTAAGTTGAGACCACTACCTGGCTCGCTGGAAGGTGGCTAGAGCTGCACTACCTGTGGATCGGTTGCTTCAGAAAGATGCACCATCATCTGCCCTTGTAACGATGTTTACCGTGCCCAGCAGAAATTGCTTTTTTTCTGAGTATTTTTTTTTTTTTTTTTTTGAGACGGAGTTTCGCTCTTGTTACCCAGGCTGGAGTGCAATGGCGCGATCTCGGCTCACCGCAACCTCCGCCTCCTGGGTTCAGGCAGTTCTCCTGCCTCAGCCTCCTGAGTAGCTGGGACTACAGGCACGCGCCACCATGCCCAGCTAATTTTTCGTATTTTTAGTAGAGACGGAGTTTGACCATGTTGACCAGGATGGTCTGGATCTCTTGACCTCGTGATCCACCCGCCTCGGCCTCCCACAGTGCTGGGATTACAGGCTTGAGCCACCGCACCCGTCCTTTCTGAGTATTTTTAATGGAACTTCTTACTTTTGTATGCACATTGAAATAGAAACATTTAAAACCTATCAAGAATGGCTGATTTCAAGTTGAGACTTGGATTCGTAGCTTTTTTCTATTCTTAAATAGAGGTAGATAGAAATAGCCTAAATTATTTGGAATTGTTTGTTTTTGAGTAGGCAATATAGTCACATGGTTCAAAATTTAAAGGAACGGAAAAACATACCGTGAAAGCCTTGTTCTCGTCGCTCTTCTACTTCCTCCCTCTAAACCTCCCATCCCGTTTAACCACTTTTGGTTTCTTTGGAATTCTTTTAGATTTTCTTGTTTAAATGCAAGCATAGCATGCTGTTAGACTGTTATACGCCTTGCTCTTTTTGCTTTCAGAGATATTGGAGATCTTTTTTTTTGAGATGGAGTCTTACTCTGTCCCTCAGGCTGGAGTGCAGTGGTGCAATCTTGGCTCACTGCAACCTCCACCTCCCAAGTTCAAGCAACTCTCCTGTCTCAGCCTCCCGAGTAACTTGGACTACAGGCGCGTGCCACCAAGCCTGGCTAATTTTTTGTATTTTTTAGTAGAGACAGGGTTTCACTGTGTTAGTCAGGATGGCCTTGATCTCCTGACCTCGTGCTAGGCCTGCCTCGGTCTCCCAAAGGGCTGGGATTACAGGTGTGAGCCACCGCCCCCAGCTTGAAGATCTTTTTTTTTTTTCTTTTTTTTTTTTTTTTGAGACAGAGTTTCGCTCTTGTTACCCAGGCCGGAGTGCAATGGCACCATCTTGGCTCACCGCAACCTCCGCCTCCTGGGTTCAGGCAATTCTCCTGCCTCAGCCTCCTGAGTAGCTGGGATTACAGGCATGCGCCACCATGCCCAGCTAATTTTTTTTTTTTGTAGTTTTTTAGTAGAGACGGGGTTTCACCATGTTGACCAGGATGGTCTCGATCTCTTGACCTCGTGATCCACCTGCCTCAGCCTCCCAAAGTGCTGGGATTACAGGCGTGAGCCACCGCGCCCGGCTTGAAGATCTTTTTATATTGTCTCATATTTGACAGTTTCTTTGTACTTTTTAACAGCTGTATAGTATTCCTCTGTATGTGCCATTATATATATATATGTGTGTGTATATATATATATATTTAATAGCGTTTTAGGTTTTGGGGTACATGTGAAGAACATACAAGATTGTTGCATAGGTACATACATGGCAATGTGGTTTGCTGCCTTCCTCCCCATCACCTATATCTGGCATTTCTCCCCATGTTATCCCTCCTCAACTCCCCACCCCCCACTCCCCACCCCCACCCCGTGATGAACATCTGTGGATTGTTTTTTCAGTATCTTACTGTTACAAACAATGCAACAATGAATAATGTTATGTATTAGGTGATTTTTAGATTTATTAATGTGTGAATATTAATCATTTAAGTAATATAAAGTGTGGTGGGAGTTTCTATATAGCATTTCTACATTAGCGTAGAAAGCAGTTTAAAGCACGATTTTGCTATATTTGGTTGTACCTTTGTAATTTTTGAGTTAGAGGTCATGTATCCTTCTCTAAGATCTTTGCATCTGTAAAAGCCCAAGATAATTTGTTTTGCAAAGAAAGGTATGGCTTTGCAGAGGTGGTTATTTTTATGAAAGATCATCTTTGACAGTGATAAAAGTCCATGTTGATAAGAGCCTGTTTTCTCTATCCAGGAAGAAATAGGCATACTATAAAGA